CATTAATATTGATTAACTTCAAATCATTTCACTTCCTCCTTGTCGCCTCATTTTTTCTCTTCTCGGCCTTCTCCTCGATTCTTTCTGTGGCTCCTTTTCCTGTCACGCTCCCTCCTTTGCTTGGGGTCGAGTGAAGGCTCCACAGGTCTGGTTCCAATTCTAGTCATGACTGGAGCAGTCGGGTCTCTTGACACTATGCAGTATCTAGTTTACCAAACTAAGTGCTCCCCCTAATAGAGCCAGCATTTTGCTTTTGTTCGGTGTCAGAAAATGTGTTACAGTTTTACTAATCATGTCTTTGAAAAATGTATCAGTGGAAGAGATGTCGCCCACTGCATTTAAGTTATGACTCTAAACGCACTCAAAATTATCCATCAGTTTTCTATTTCAAATCTAAGACTTTGGTGTTATTTGTATCTCCAGCTTTTAGTTTATTTAATATGTGTTAGATTTGAAGTTCTTCAAAAATTGTTGGGTTTTTGTGCCTCCTAGTGGCCTTGCGCCTAGCTTTGGAAAGGGATTTTTAACTCACAAATGAATAAAGTACCGTTTTATGCTGTAAACTGTCTGAGTATCTGTGTGATTTCACATGATATTTTGAAGTGATGAGGTAGATCATGTAGGCTRTGTAGAATGTAACTCTTAACTACTACCAAACCAAATTTTGGCCCAACGTCTATAAAACTGACTTTGGTAAATCCATTCTGTTCTGTTCTTGAATCAGGTTGACATAAATGTTAGTCACCTGAAGCTGTACTGTATCTTAGGGATTACTTTCTGAAAGTTTTCTTAAATCTGTCCAGTTGTTGATGAGATATTTTGGGAACAGACAAACAAGCAAAAACATTCTTTTCTTTYGGCATGGTCCGATCCAGAGATTTACTGTCAGAAGCATCAGTAAAACAGCAGGAGTTTCCTCAAACACTCACTTTTGTGTCAACACATGCAAAAACAGATAACAGTACAAACAAATCCTAAAAAAACTGAACTGCCTCAACTAAAATGTTCCATGTTTTTTTTTACATAACCCAGTATGAAAATGCACAAGTATTTTTTATATAAGTATATTTCATCAACATACTAACTTCTGTCAGGTAGAAGAACTGAATGTGAACTGAGGGGAAAAAACATATTTAGAATGTTTTTAAAAAACATCTTAAAATCTTTTTTAAAAATGTGCCAGCTGACCTGTTCTCTCTACTCCTTGTTTGTAGAGCGATCAGTGGATAAGTTTACCCCCAATGCCTACGCCTCGTGCAGGGGCAGCCGTGGCAGTGCTTGGAAAGCAGATCCTGGTGGTGGGAGGGGTGGGAGAGGACCAGAGCCCCCTTAAGKTGGTGGAGATGTACAACACAGAGGAGGGCAGATGGAGGAAGAGGAGCGCTCTGCGGGAAGCACTGATGGGTGTATCCATCACAGTGAAAGGTGCATGTTGTTATTTACCTATAATTTTTGTAAAACCTGCAAATAGAAGCCTGGCTTTTATAAATCATGTCCAACCTGGACACCATCACAAACAAACCAGGCTCCAGAAAAACAATCCTTCAGCTGCAACTCTTCAAAAAAATTCAAATGAGAGAATGTGGCCATACCAACTATTTAAGGACCTTCCTTAATCAAGTCCAATTTTGTCTAAGTAAAACAATCAAAAATAAAATTACCCATGTGTTCTCAGAGATATTCTGTAGCTTTGTGTAATATTACATATATACAGGGTGTATCAGAAAAAATGAKACTCTCAGAAAAATCGCCATAAATCATAAAATAATATCTGTTAATTTTATGGCGATTTTTCTGAGAGTCTCATTTTTTTCCTGGTACACCCCTCAGGAATATATATATA